CTGTGTGATCTTGTAATACGTTTGCTTGAAATTTTATGCTTAGAGAAGTTATGTTTTGATGTTCCACTGTATGTGCGGTATGTGGATGATATTCTCATATGTGTGCCTATTAAATATATTAACTTTACTAAAAACATTTTTAATAGCTATTGTCCGGAATTACAATTCACTGTTGAGACATGCAACAACAATAGCATTAGTTTCTTAGATTTAAAAATTATCATTTAACAAAATAATACAGTACTAACTAATTGGTACCAAAAATCCACACATTCAGGCCAATACTTGAATTTTCTCTCCCACCATCCAATACAACATAAAATAGGTATCATTTACACATTAGTAGACTTTTCCATTAAATTAGCAGACACTCAGTTTCATAACGATAATTTAAAATTAATCAATAAATTTTTACTAGCTAACAACTATCCTCTAAAATTTATTGATAAATTTTTAAGCAAAAAAAAAAAAAATACCTTAAAAAACATGAGCATGATTGACACTTGCAATAGAAACAATAATAACTATAAAATAATCTTGTCATTACCGTATATTCTCCACTTGCACGGTCCTATTAAATATTTTTGTAAGAAGCTTCACATTGGTCTTGTATACAGTTTAAACAATAAATTTCATTCGATCTTTTCACTTGGAAAAGATGTAACCGAGCCACTCGATAAGAATAATGTCGTTTACCACATACCATGCGCGAATTGCAACTGCTGTTATGCCAGTCAAACATCGAGAGCTGTAAAATTAAGAATGGCAGAACATAGAAGAGACATAAAGAAAAAAAAGGATACATCTGTACTATCACAACATAGCATTGAATTTACACACAACTTTAATTTTGATAAAATACAAATTTTAGACACAGAACAAAATTATAAAAAGCGCCTGTTTTCCGAAATGTTAAATATACATTATTTCAATAATAATATTAATAGACAACAAGATACAGAAAAATTGAAAAATTGTTACAAGTCTCTCGTGAAGTTAATTAAGAAAGGAGGCTAACTTGATGTACATGATTTGAGGGACCCTTTCATTTCCAATATTAGGAAATCATGATCTGTTTACATGTGTCTCACAAGGAACTGCTTGCGATTCTTATTTGATTGTATTATGTGCGTATACTGTGGCCTTTGTGTATGTGCTGGGTATAAAAGCAACAAAACTTGAAACTCTGACTTCATTACGTTTTTACATCCCCTTCGTAAAAGTCAGAGGTATATTATACTCTTTACTTAATGTGCGTTTATTGTATTTATCAGAATTTGTATTGTAAAGAATTTTTTTATTACTCATAGAATTTTGTACCTGATGAGGGCTGTGACATTGTCCAAACGGCCGAAACGTC